ATTTTATTCTCAATTTTTCAACTTGTCTCATCGGAACCCAAAATGTCTCACTTTGTCCTGGTTTATTTCAAAATTACCTTTTTATCTCACTAATTTGTCCTCGGTAAGCTATTATTTTTTAATTATCATGTCCTCGCGTATGGAATATTTTATTCTAAAATTTTCCTTTCGCCTATCACCGCTCTTTTGCACTTAAATTTACATCCATCAACTCATTGTCTAGTCGATGAGATCATATTGGCTCTAATACGGGGATACGAGGTGTTACACTTTTATAGAAAATTTGATGAAAAAGACTCGTGATGAAAATCTGTGGAAGTATGGTGATTGCTTCATTCATATATGTTGCATCTTTTGAACATATCTCAATCTACAGAACTTCAAATGTAGTGATTCTTGGACCACTAGACTTCTAAGATGAAGGACTACAGTTTTTATGTCTATTACTTTACCCAATAAGGATTTTATCATAGTCAAAATATTTGTCTAATTTGGTGCATTGCAGCAGTATGCATGGACTAAACATGATATAGTATTTGGAGTATATGTTTCAATTTCGAAGTCCAATTGATATGATTCTTGATACATTGGAAAGTTAATAGATAGGAATACAACTTTTATGTTTAACGCTTTTCCTAGTTCAGAACAGATCAGGGTGAAAATTATGTTCGAATTTGATAGACCGTCATAGCACTAGGAGAACGAGGCTACAATGCTGGTGAAAGGAAGCTCACCATACAATTTTCTCGAGAGCTCAACACCGTAGCACTAGAGAAGTAGCACTGTAGCACTACTATAGTAAAAAGACCAACACCCCGGCTCCAAGAAATCAAGGCCGTGGTGCTAGGCCATTTTCGAAAAATAAAAATTTGATGAGATTTTGGAAATTAGGTTACTTAATGCCTATTTAAGGGACCTCTTTTAGAGATTTTAAAGAGAAGGTAGTAACCAACTATGCTGGAGATTCATAACGAAGAACAAAGCAAGAAAACAAGAGAATTTGAGAGAGAATTGAGATTGCAAAGCTTTAACACTTTTGTGTTTCTTTTATTTTTTTGGACTTGGATTCATGGATAAATTTCTTTAGATGTTGTTTTTATTAGTTATTGTCAGCCAAATTATCTTTCTAGGATTGTGTTGGATTTCAACATGCAGTTTGAATATTAGTTTCTCTTTTATTTATCATGAATGGGTGTAGTTTTGCTTATTTGAATTTGTTTTTAATGCTTTTGATTGTTTGGTCGACAATTAATTTATTTGTGAATCTAATTGAGACACGATAGAGAGATTTTAGATTGGACTAAGGATTGAATAGTGTATGTTAATGTCACTTAGGTGATTTGATTCATGATTCGAGTAGACATACGCGAATTGCCATACATAGACACATTAGGCAACTTGCTTACTGAATTTAATTTAATTGATTCCTATAGACATATAGTGCACTAATTAAGTTAGGTATTTGCACAAGCAACTTGACAAAGACTTGCCCATAACTTTGGATTCTAGGTTAGTAAAACCACCCAACAAAGATAAGTAGCAAGCTGGTATTAGATGAAATGTTGAATGAACCCATAATCCTAAGTCTTTTATATATTGCTTTTCTTAACTTATTTAATTTCATAGTTTATTTAGTTTTGACTTTTAATTGGTTTTAATTAGTTTTTCTTCAATTTTCAGATTACATAAATAAGATTAATTTGCTTTATAATTTTAGTACTTAATGAAACTTTAGAAACAAATCTCTGTGGGAACAATACTCTACTTTATTACTATATTACTTGTTCGATATGTATACTTGCATGTGTAAAATTGACAACAATAATCAATAATTTGTCTAGGAATCAAGTTCTAAGCATGCTAAGGTCTTTTGAATCTATTTAGATTCTTCTAAAACTAATTTTCCAACCTAAGTTCATTGTTTAACAAATACCCATGTGCAAAAATTCATAATCCATCATCCTTACCTTAGGTAAGCTTTGATGTTTAGGGAAATCACAAAACCTTGCACCTTAGTAATCAACAGAAAAATCTAGGCACCAAAACAACATCTTGAGTGTTGGAAATCCAAGATTTAATGTTTTCAAAGCTTAAAATACCATTGTTCTTATAAAAACCTACAATCAAGCTCAAAATCATAAAAAATGGTGTTTTACGCCAAAAATGAGTTGAAAGAGCTTAAGAGTTAGGGTTTTTACCTTGCAAATGTGACTAAAGCCTGCCAACCCTCAAAATGTGGCATACTTATAATCTAAGGTGTGAAAATATATTTTTACCCCTTTTATTTTTTTGAAATTGACGAAATGAATTGATACATTTGGCCCATGTATCGAGACATTTAGTTTTAGAAATATTATATTGATATATTATGAACATGTATTGATACATGTTCATCAAAAACCCTTTATAGGCTAAATGTATTGATACATCATGAACATATATCTAATACATTTGAGACAAAATGCAGTTCTAATGCAAATAGCCTATAGAAACTTGCCCAGCTTATTTACATTAAATACCATTTAAGTAAATATCTTAATTTTTACTTTTTCCTTTTTACTCTTTATTTACGTAAGATATTTAATGTAAACAAGCAAACACCACCCATTTGGATTCATTAATCAAAATCTAAATTTTGATTTCAAGAACAAAATCAAAAAACTTTGACTGAAATTAAATTTGCAGCTCGTATTTACCATTGCAAACGTACTCCAAAATTTACAAAAAAAATCATTTTTGGTCATCTAACTATCGAGGAAATCATTACTACTAGTTTTTATTTTGAAAAGATTGTACTATAAAAATCACATATTTTGACCCTTTTAAAGATAGAAAAAGTTATACTTTAGCAGTGACAGCCAACCAAGGTCACATTGAATAGTTTTGAAGGTTAAAACTAAGTTTGGCATTCACAACATGAAATCTACATGCTAACCTAAGGATTTCCTAACTCATCCTCTTGCTTAAGGTAGGATTTCATAAATAAATGCCAAGAGCTAGGTGAATTGGTACTCTAAAAATTTCCTTTACAATCTTAATGAAAAATAACTCCTTTTGGAAAAACAAATTTTCTTCTTGTGTCAAAAGCAAAGCGAGTGAGTTTTCTTTGAAGCATATGTCAACAATAAATCACAAAGCATAAAGTAAATCAAGACACAAAGATTTTTATAGTGGTTCAGCTTTCTCATCAAGACACAAGGATTCTTACTTTTAATGGGATCAAGCAATAACCCTTGCACCGACTTTTTCATGAGCTCAAGAGATAACCTTTACACTTGCTTTTTCAAGATCAAGCGATAACCCTAACACTAGCTTATTAACCAGATCAAGAGATAACTTTCACACTAACTTTCAAGGTTAAGTTAGAACCTTTACAAATTTGTGTACAAAGGACTAACATCAACTATTTCCCTCACAAAGGCTAAATGCTGAAGATTTAAGCTTGGGTACAAGGAGAAGAAAAAATCTCACAAATGAAAGCTTTGAATGCTTAAGGGAAGACTAAAATGAAGTTTAAAAAGGTATAAATATGTGGAAGTTTCTATTTATGGTTTTTCAAATGTTTTCTAGTCTTGTATTACTTCAAAATGAGTCAAAGGCGACCTTTTATAGTCTGAAGGATAGGGCATCTATACTTGACTCTTGAGGTCTTCTAGTTGATCCACTTGTATAAGCGTGTGATTTTTGAGTCTAGCTTAGTGTAGTCGACTACAAGTACTTGAGGGTGTACTATGGCTTCTAAAATTGTTGTCTTTTGCAAGTGTTCTGCTTCAAGATTAACATTGTTAGTGTGAATCTATCTCATTAGGGCTGACTATGGCTACTCAAATCTCAAATTGTTAGTGTACTAATTCATTAAGGCTGTCTATGGCTACTCATATCTCAAATTGTGCTTGCAATCTATCTCAGGGTCGACTATGCCTTCTATATTTAACAATTGTTTAGTCATTCTTCAACCATTCTGCCATAGGGTTGATTAGAGCTTCTCTAGGGTTAGTTATTCTCTTGTGTTTTCAAGATTCCCTGACTTTTTAGCTCTTCACTTTAGCTATTTCTTCCTTTGTAACGACCTCTTCTTCGATCATTATCAATGTCTAAGTCTTGCAGAGAACCTGCCAAGTCCCGAACAAGCCTTAATTGAAACATTAGTCATTATGCCATCAATTCATGAAATTGCTTTGAACCATATTCCTCTTTGTAATAAGAATTGAACTTAAATCATAATAAGCCATCTTATCCTTTATTCATCATAATCAAAAAAATACATTAGAGTATATAGTATTTAACTGTGTATTTACATTGACACTATTTACAAATACATCAAACAAAGAATGACTTGACCTCTAGCAGTGGAGAGACGTAGAATAAAGTGCTATGAGATGCCATTACCTATGTTGCAGCAAGTCTCGAGGTGGTGAGCAATGCACTTAAGCTAATAACTTTTCTGCAAAAGGAAATGAGGGGGTAAGTCTCACAGACTCAGTGATCATCAACTCCGTGAGTAGGACGTAGATGGGAAACAAGCCAAAGCAGAAGATTTGAATATATAAAAACCTAAGAACATATAATCCATTTCGAAGCAAATGGGACATTTGTGCCTTACGTATAAAACCAAGGATTTTTATGCGAGAAAGCATTTAACCATCATTGTCTCAAAACTAGTGTGAGTGAAAGATTTCTATCATTGAAATCACTCAATGTCATTTACTTAAATTAAACTAAACATAAGGACGCACGCTCCCATGAAATCAACATTATTAAAGCTTTTACACAAGATCACAAATCATCTTATCCTCGAGGTATTAAACACAACATCATTAATTCATAATCAATAAATAAATCATTGAAAGCTTTTAATCAAATGGGGGAGCTACAGAAAAACTAGTATTTCTCACCTCGCAAAAGAAGTTCTATTTGAAAACCCAAAAAGATATCACTCTCGAGTACGTGATTGTAAATATCAACCCGTGGACCTGCTTCCACGTAATAACAATCTAGGAACACCACTCCACCGGATTCCCACATGCCATGGTAGTCTCGTTGATGTTGGCTGACATCGAAAAAATCAAGCGATCGTAACAGCGAATATCACTTGTGGCCTAGCCACATATATCACAAACCATGGCCTCATCCATGTCTAACAGTCCCTCAGAAACCCAAAAGTTCTCTAGGTAGAGCTCACTTGTACACAATGGTCACACTATCCTAACGTGACATTCAATCTACTCTTGAATCTCTCGGTTTAGTAAAACTACTTAAAAGTCGAATCGGGTTTTCAAAGGATCATTTCAAATCATTTTCAAAATATCGATCACAGTAACATGATAAAACACCCTTTATTTTGTAAGACTTTACATTATAAACCTTTTGCATAAGGTTTAGATGTGAAATCAGCATGGTGAGTATGAAATTCATTCATAATTGCACATCACACAATCAATAAGGCACATTTTGATAGAAATTGTGGTAAAAAGCTTGTTTCTCGATTTTCAAAATCCTTTACATATATAACTTGTATATATAAATATATATATGGTCAAGACAATTTCAAATACTTTGACATTCACAATTCCTAAGATATCTACCAGCTCATGTTGTTCCCAAATCATATTTAAAATAAATCGACACATTTATCAATCGTAAAGCAATATATACATATATATAGTATGAAAATTTATAAATCGACACCCCTTACTCACCTTACAATAGCGGGATGCTACGTTGTTATCAATTCAAGTGCGTATCTAGCTAACTTTTCTTGCCAGTCACTCGTTACCTCGTCCGGCATGCTACTACGACAAACTTTCCTAGCACAAATTAAACTCAGTATGCTTAATCATACACATATATGGGCAGCAACTTGATTAATGATTCCCCAACCAAATTTCATATTTTTCATCAACCTCAATCACAAACATGTTAACAAGCATTCCACATACTATCAACTGCTCATATCCAACACAAAAAAATTTAGATGCATTGCATGCTCACCTCTCGGTTTTAGCTTGAGTTCTGCATATGGTTCACAATTTCCGCACATCCATGGTCATCATTCCTGCCACAAACATAACCAATTAGCACACATCTCATTTCTCTTGTTTACTTCTGATTTCAAGACCAAAATTCTTACTCATTGCTTATCTAGCTCAAAATCACCATACATTCCAAAATCGACCTACATGCATGGATTTATTTCTTTCAATTCTTGGAAGACCTTTGCTGCCACAACATTTTCACACAATTAACAACTCATTTCCTCAAGAAATTCATAACCAAAATCA